CCCTCCCCCCCCTTTCTTAATTTCTAAAGGACTTTTTTTATATAAATTGTTTTTTTTTTAAAAGGGCAAATATGCTCAACATTTTTTAGCAAATTTGTCCTTTTAAAAAAAACCGATTCATATGTAGATATAAGAAAATTCAACATATAGAAGACTTTTTATAACAATTAATCATTGTGCTCCCTCCCCCACTTTAAAACCCGTGTCGTTAGCCCTGGTAGTTTATTATAGAAGAAAATTATTTTTTAGATTTGCAAACTTGTTTTTTTTAATATCAATATTGTAAACTTTTGTGTCATACACAATTATTTGCAATATTGTTTCAATATTTCAGACAGGCTTCTTAATGAGGGGCGTGTCTAGCCCCTATGGTATTTATTAGTTGGCAAAATGGGGTCTATAGTTAGCATTATGCAAATGTCAGCCAATGAGGACCTTAGATCTGTCTGCAAAACAGTAGGCTTAAAACTTAGTCTGCAAAACAGTAGGCTTATTTACACACACATACACAAAAAACTGCAATAATAACAGTACTTTTATTTACACACACATACACAAAAAGCTGATACTTCAACTCTCCCCTCCCCTTTTTTTTTCAAGATATTGTGAGGGCAGCTTTGATTTTAGTTATGTGTTAAGCTTTAACTTAAAAATATAAATTAGTTAATAAAATAGTTTAGTTATTTAAAAATAAAAAATGAAATACTTCTTTTGTCAAACTTTTTCAAAATTATTACTTGAAAAAATATTTTTAAATTTTAAAAATGCATTATAGTTAGTGGTTGAAGTTATTTCTTTTTTTCTTTTTTTTTTTTTTTTTTTTTTTTTTACTTTAAATATTGTTATTTAAACTTGAAAATTGGTGAACAAATAATAAAAAAGCTAAAAATCCTTATGAATGAAATATTTAATCACTTTATTATGTTTTATTTTGTCAGTTTGTTTGCAACAAACTTTACTAACAATGTTTGATAGAAAGCTTTAATGTTAACTTAATTTTTTTAAATATTTATTTTCATTCAACAAAACCTTACTTTTATCAAGAGTTTTTAAAAAGCGTCAATAACAAGTTAAACAAGTTTTGGTTTCCTTTCTAACCTAGCAGCATACACAAAATTTTAGTGTACATATTATTTAATTATTAATAATACCTGCTAACAATACTTTTTAGAAATACAAATACTCTCTGATGCTGACAAGGTTTGTTATTTTAAATAACACAATGGTGTTTTCATTTTTTATTTGATAGTTTATAAATAAAGAAGTTGTTGCCCTATAAATTTGGTTAAATCACTGTATCTTAAGCGGTATGGATATAGTTTAGGTTGTATTTATTATAAGTTGATGAGTTTGAATTATATTTTCAGAAATCATTTGATGAAGAAAGGGTTCAAGAAGTTGATTTTACCATTATTGAAAGTTTAAATAAAGAAATACTATTTGTTGTAAGTATATTTGCAGCCCTCGGAATTAGAAGAAATGAGGTCAACAGTATACTACTGACCTTAAACTGTTAAAGGTCGGCATCAGATCAGCAAAAATAGTTTGACACAAAAGTTTAACCATAAAACAAAGAAATGAAGTTGGCAAACTTGTTGCTGACCTTAAACACTTTGAGGTCGGCATCGCTAAATGCCGACCCTAATTTTAAAGGTTGTATATGTATATATATTTGTATAAATTTATACTGTTGTAACAAATACATTATATTAACTATTGTTTAACAAAAGTTTACCAAATTTTTAATTAGTTTACCAAAAAAACACTTATAGAGCGAGACTTGAAAAATGTTGATAAACCAACTTTATTTAAAAAAAAATATATTTTTGTATATGTGTGTGAGTACTGTTTTAATAAAAAAAGTTAGCAGTTAGCAAATGTTTTAACCATTATAGGCTGAGGTTTATGGAAGCGAAATATCTATTTTACCTACAATAAAAGAAAATAAAGATTTTAATAATCCATGTTAGTTAGCAGATGTAAGTTTATGCATATTTTTGTGTATGTGTGTGTGTGCGTGTGTGTGTGTGTGTGTGTGTGTGTGTGTGTGTGTGTGTGTGTGTGTGTACTGTTTTAATACAGTTAGCAGTTATTAAATGTTTTAGCTGTTATAGGCTGAGGTTTATGGAAGCGAAATATCTGTTTTACCCACAATAAAAGAAAATGAAGATTTAAACAATCAATGCTTGTTAGCAGCTGTAAGTATTTTTGTGTGTGATTGTGTGTGTATGTGTTTGTGTATTTTTTCAAATAATTAAGTTAACAACAAGTTTTTCATTTGTTATAGCATATTAATAATAATATTGGAAGACCAACCAATGAAAAAGGAAACATAGGCTATAATAAAGAAGTTCCATTAGTTGATGTAAGTATAGTATGTATTTACGCTTTCCTTTAACTATTTATATTTTAGTATTTCATTTTTGGCAACTTTTTTGCAACTTTTATTTTGTCATTGTTACTTTAATATTTCTTACTGTAAAAGTGTCTTTTATTTCGAGATAAGTTTTAAAATTTTATATAAAATATATATTTAGACCTCTACTTTATTGGGACACTTGTATTTTATTCATACAGTCCTGTGCTACTTTGCTCCATTTCTCAAAATTTTTGACAAGTTTGTGAAATAAATATTACAATAAGTTGTTTATAAAAATAAACTAGAGTTAATAGTACAATATGCATTGAGTATATCAATAAACAATAATTATTTATAAGTTAATCCTATAGATATTTAAAGACAGCTAAAAAAAATTATTAAATTAAGTAAAATTTTGATGCTATTACCAAGTTGTTGTTATTTTTTGTGTTTCCGAGAAAATCAAGTTTTTTTTTTAATTTGTATTAAATTTAATTAAATTTGTTTAAATTTAATTTGTAAAGACTTACTGCCAGAATGTCCAGCTTGTTTTTTAAATATTTTTTAAAGTTGTATCTTTCTTGAGAATAGGTTTATTAGACACATACTCCATTGGTTGTTAAATATTTATTGATTACAAACAGAAAAAACACAAAAAGTGGATTTTTGTGTTTTTTCTGTTTGTAATCAATAAATATTCAACATTTGGCCTTTTGGTTGTCGGATGACGATTTGTGCATCTTGATCTTTATCAGCTATGCAAACATAATAGGGCAAGTACTCAGCCATCAAAACTTAAAAAAATCTATAGTCTACAAAAACACGCATGCAGAATCATTTACTTTAAAAATAAGCGGGAGCATACAAAACCTATAATGAAAGATATGAAAATGATGGATGTTTTTGAAATAAATATCTATCAGCATTTAATTTTTATGTATCAATTTAATAATAATCTCTCTCCTACAAACTTTACTAACAAGTTTGAAATAAACATAAATGAAAACTACTATCTAAGAGCAAATATAAGTAACACATATAAACTGCCTCAAAACCTTAATAAATATACTGAATATAGCATTGCATATCGGGGGCCAAATATATGGAATAGATATCAAAAAGGATCCAAATGTATGGCAAAGTCATTAAGTTCATTTAAGTTTCTGATAAAAAAAGAAATTTTTAAAATTTGATTATTATTTGTGCTTAAAAGAATTACAAAGTAACTTTCTTTATAATCTTATTTATTTGTTTTTATTGATCAGCGCAGCAGTTTTATGCCCATTAGGGTTTTTAATTTAATTTAATCTCCATAACCTAATGAAAATGTATATAGGGGGCTCTATGAAAAGATTGCGATGATCTTTGAGCCCCTGTCTGTTTAACTCTTTATTTTATAAAGATCATTGTAAAAAAGTATAGTTTATTTTATATACTGTATATACAAAAACGGTGCTTGTTGACAAGATTTTACTGTCTTCTTTGTTATACGGACATATTTCTTTCTTTCTTGTATATATATGTGTTGATTATATTTGTTAAACAGCAAAATAAATGTAAAAAAAAAAAAAAAATAATAATAAAAAATAAAAATAAAAAAAAATCTTAAATGTCTGTAAATTTGTATAGACGTTTCATCTTTTTATCTTTCTAAACAATTTCTAATTTTGCTCCAAATAATTCGAAAGAATGAGAAAATTCTATTAATTGATTTAGTACTTCTGGACTAATGTGCCACTATCGTAAAAATCTTGCAAAATTTGCAGACAGTTTGGAACTTAGACTCCTTCCATCCTATAATTTTCCACTAATTTGCTGCAAATGTTGTGCTTTTTACAATATCATCGGATAAATATGCTAGGAAATAAATAGCATCTTTTAGTTTAAATGCATAATGACCACCCATACACTTGAGATTAGCTTGATTCAACCATTCCTCAGCTTCTTCTTCTTGACTTCAATCTAATGTCTTTTTATGTAAATAAGTAAAATTACAAGAGTAGTTAACTTAATCAAAAAATTTGCTTCTATATTTATTTTAATTTGATCACATGCTATTTTTGTAAATCTTTGCAACTTGCAAATCCAGTTCATCCTTCTAACTACTTGTTGTTGTAGTAACAAATATATGAATGGATGCTCGACATTCGACAAATAAGAAGTATCACTGATAAAGCTTAAACAATCTTGCTATTTACCTTCGATAGCCTTGAATCTAAAACTGATGTATTGCTGAATACTTCAATGGAATTATAAGTGCTTCTTTTTTTTTGTTCTTTTATCCAAATGCTTTTACGCTTTCTTTGCAAAACCTTTTAATCTTTTTGGTTGATCACTTAATATGATCATTTCATTCCACTAACTTGCCTTATTTCTTCCCCTGGATTAATACTTTTTCATGTTTAAGAATATACTCTACCTATATTTTAAATGAAACTGAAATTTTAAAATGACAACGCTATTTCAAAATAGCTTTTTTAGAAAAAATGCAATCTGGATATTATTTAAGCTTTTGTATAAAACAATATACCTGTAAAAAATGGAAAATTTTTTTAAATTAATATAGTTTAATAAAATTTTGTTACTAAAGATTTTCAAAAACCCAGATGGGTGGGGTTTTTATCAACCCTGACAGAAGCAAACATCTTTTTAAAATTTTGAATTACTTATTTTTATATTTTATATGATAGAAGTTTTAAATTGCCCCAACAATTTAGGATTTCATGAGTGATATGATTTCATGTACAAAAAGTTTGGCAAAAAATTTGTTAGTGTTTTTGATATTTAAAATTTATTTGAAAGAAAAAATCTTATATAATTTACTTGTATGTTGTATAAATAGTATTGAGATTTATATTAAACTAGTAGTAAGCAACCCGTAATACGGGTTAGTATTAAATAAATCATTACTAACAATTTGATTTTTATTTATTTTCTCTAATGAAATATAAATTCATTTATACATTATTTTAGTTGTGCTTAATTTTATTTTTCTTGGGTTCTTAGTTTAAGAAAACTCTTACCTTCATTAAAGTAAACCATTTCTTTTGCAATGTTCAGACATTGAATGCGCAAATTCAATGTCTGAACACAACCATGTAAAGTTAATATATGACTTGAATTATATGCATAGATCATCGATTTCAAATTTCCTGATTCCGTAAAATTGTTTAGTTAAATATTCAAAATATATTTTACTCTTAATTTTGCTTTAAGCGGAGTCGTTTCTTTTTTCTTCAAAGTTTTCATTTTACAGAGTGAAGAGCTTAAAAATATCACTATTATTGCACCTAAACTTTTTAATATTATTAATATACTTTTTAAATATTTTAAAAACACCTAAAATATTACACCCAAACTTGTAGGCATAGAAATTGGATATCCGGAAAAACCGAAATATATATCCGCAATTCCGGAAAAGGCTTATCCCTGTATTCGGATCCTATATTATTATATGATAAAGCTTATTACTAAACCAATCTTCTTTTAATTAATAATCCAGCAGAAACTTGTTTATAAAAAAACGATAAAGGAATATATCGATATACTTTATAGCTAACGTGTTCCACATATATATTTCAGCATACATCCAATCCATATTTATACTAATTTTATAAAACGTCCGGAATACATTTTGCCTTAATTTTGCGGTTTATATCTCATTTATTTAAAAATGAATGAGATATAAACAATCCTACTATAGTATTATATAGATAAGTAGATATATAAAAAAAAAAAATGGAAAACAATATACCTGCTTTTGGTAACCTATTGTGATACTGCAGCAGTTGCTGTAGGTATGCAGCAGTTCTTGTCGGTGTTGTTCAAAAACGTTAGTTTTTAACTCAATAACTTGAACATGCGTTCAACTTTGCCTAATACACCATGTTTGAATATATCATTGAGGAGGTTATTTAACTTGAGTTTAAATACTCGAGTAACCAACCAGGTCTATCATTCGTATTCTGACCCGGATACAAATTTTCTGTTATTTCACACCATTTTGGGTTGCAAGTAAAAGTAATAAAAAGATCTGGTTTACCATACTTTTTAATAATTGCCATAGCATTTTCAAAGTTTTCTTTTAAAGCTCTAAGACTTCCTACATAAGATAATGGCAAAACTACTACTTGTCCCAAATTTAAAGTACTATTTAAAAGAGATTAAAATAAATTAATTACTTATAAAATTTTAAAAAGATTTTATATTACCTATAAATTTAAGCTACAAAACATTATCTACTTAGACATTTTGAACTCGCACCATGAAAGGTTACGACTTCTTTAAGAGAGCACGCGGTTAAGAAAAGTCAAGAAACTACTTAAAAAGTGTATTTTACAAAATTCAGAACCGTACTGTAATTATAAAACAATAGGCGTAACTATGCGCGCTAATAATAATAATAAAATTCACTGCGCAAATTATATTAAGATAATTAAGTAAAGTAAAATATAAAAATAAAAATAAGATAATTTAAATATTTCGGGCAAAAGTAATAAAATGATGAATGTTGCTATTCCAAGGTTGTTGTTTTTTTTGCTTTATTTTCTTAGTTTATTTTAATTTATATAAATGGTTAGCTGCATTCAATAATAGGATTATGAAACCAATGCAAAATAAAGTATTTTTTACTTTTCGTGCAGCCATTTAAATGACTTGGAAGAAGTCAAGAGCAGGAGTATGATCACTGGTTATATGAAAGAAGGATTAGTTTTGGATGCAGAAAAGGTATTTTTGAAGCAAAAGTAAAAAGTTTTCATATTATTTTTAATGTTTTATTTTTTAATTCTATTTTATTTTTTATTTTTTCTTATAATTCAGTTATTCTATAAATGGAAAAAAGAAAAACTAAACCAGTTCAAGCAAATCTAAGTTAAAATATAGTTTCGCCAGAAAAAGTAATAACAAACAATCAAGTTAGTAAAAACTTTTGTAGAAACAAAGTTTAAAGAAGCTTGTGTTACTTGTGGTGTGTTTGATCTTAGAAAGGAATGAAAAGATCTGGGTTATCAACTGATCAACGTATCTATTCAAAATACAAATGCCCTATATGTAATAAAGTGGTTCGCAGAATTCATGACCATTTATATAAATCCCCACATTTTCTTAAAAATAATCTTCCTTTATATTATAAAATGTTAAAACAAAAAAAAGAGCATGTTTCTTCTTTAACAACTACAACTAAATTATTATGCAAAAACAAAATTGTAGACAGTAATTGAAAATAATGATGGTATTGTTGATTTTACTGTTTTGTTACCAATTCTATCAAAAGAACCTGTTTTTAATGATTACTTAGAGGTTTTTTTTTATTTTGTACTTAAAAAATTGTTCTGGAGGAAATAAGGATTTTAAGAGTCCCAGTAATGAGATTGCCCAAGTTCGTAGAATAATGAAAGTTGTATCGCCTTCAGAACAAGATTATACTAAACTTTTTGACCTTAATGAACTTTGAAATGTCTGGTTTTCTCATGCTAAAGCAAAAAGATTTAAGTCCGGTACAAAGCGCTCATATTTATTATCATCAGGACACTTTATGGAATTTATGATTCTTTCTAAAGTAACACCAAGTGTTTGCAATGTTTTGCCAGTAGACCGGTTAAGTGCAGATATTATGAATGTATGTTGAGTTAAGCTTTCTAAATGGCGCAAATCTTTACGAATAGAAGAAGACGTGAGGCAGTTTGAAGTAATGGCAGATAATTATAAAAACTCCATTCCAATTGAAGATTTTCAAGCTGTTTTGCAAAGTTCTTATTATGTAGAAATAACAAATAAAAATAAAAAAATTAGCCTAAAATATTTTTTAACCCCAAATTCTTATCATGTTAATTGGATGATCTACACAAATGCTAGGGATAGCTTATTTTTCAACTTGATAGTGAACAATATATCAAGGTCAGGATCTGTTTCAAACATGAATCTTGCTGAATATCTTCGTGGGTTAGTAATTAATGGACAATTTATAGTCTCAGTCAAAAACATAAAACGGCTTCAACATATAGAGATTGCCAAATTGTTATTAAAGATGATGTTAAATTATTATGTGATATATTTTACACCCTTATTAGAAGCAATGTGCCTGGTGTTAAGTCCTCGAACTTTTTTATTTCATGGGCAGGCTGTCCTATTGAATCAGGAGGAGTATCCACACAATTAAATACGTTTTTTGGCAAATGCTTGCCATGTTATAAACTTAATGGGAAAAAAAAACGTCAGTGCAACATTAATTCAAAAAAGTTTACTAACTTTTGTTTATGACAAACACCCAAAAATGAAGGAAAATCTTACTACTTTGATGAAGCACAAAAGATCCACTGGTGGAAAATGGTATTTCTTAAATCGAACATGTGCTGATGTTGCTCAGACCTCAGAAAAAGTTATTGATTCTATCTTTAGTGCTAATTTAGTTTACTCAGGATCTAGTCATACCAAGTCAGCTCAGTTCATTGAAAAAAGTAGTACTGCTATAAGTTTTAGTGAACCTCCAAAAAAAACTTCTTATAAAAAACTCTGATAATGAAAGTTTTGATAATGATAGCTTCACCTATGAGAAGTGTGACGAAGAAAATAATTTTTCAAAAATATCAGATTCTTTTTTATCAATAAAACAAGTGTGGACTTCAAACGATGTTGAAGAATTGAATCGCATTTTTGGCAATATTGATATTGAAAGTTTTAATCAAACATTTATTAGGCAATGTTTAATAGATAATGCTCATTTAGTAAATCGTACTTTTAAGCAAGTATATATGATAAACTTGATCATCTGTACAGGTGAAAAAAAGTTAATACTGAAAATGAAAATAATATTTATCCAAAGCAAAAAGTAAGTTTTAACACAAAGGACACCGTACTAATGAAAACTATATTTTTTAAAGAACTTAAAGGGCAATCTAGTATAAATCAACAGCAGGTAGAAGAAACTATCAATTCTCACTCTGAAGGCAAAAAACTTCGAGAACGTTATTCTATAGAACATTTAGTTGCAAAGATTTGATATAAAAGGCTGAAAGTTAGAAAAACAAAATGTATTAATTTTTTTTTTCTTTCACATTTTAAAGAGTATTTTTGTTTTTTTTTCTTTTTTTTTGGTTGTAACTTGATTGTTTGATTTCTAAGCTTTTATCTAAGATTAAGGGTCTAAGGAAGGCCTACGAATAAGGGAGATAAAGAAATAAGGCGTGTAAGGGAGAGTGGTTGAGATAGCGAGTATTTTGATGCTAGATTTATATTTCTTCATTTTGTTTTTTTGTTTTTTAACAAAAGAATTAAATTTCACAAATTTAAAAAATTTTGTATTCTTATCGAATTCAATAAAAGTTTATTTGTTTTGATATTCTTAAAAATTTATGCATTATGCAAGATGGGGACATAGAAAGGGGATTATCAAGTTCATACAGGTGCATGTAAGGGGAGAGGGGAGGTCCTAAATCAGTAGTTTTACTGTGTACGACTTTGTCCCTTACGACGATGTCCCCTTATCCTTTCATACATGAAAAATCAGGTTTTATTGTTATAGTAGGCATGTGTTACAATTATTTGGAATTTTTTTCTGATATTTAATTCATATCTTCATATTTGTTTTAACTTAACTTTTTCAATTTAATTTGTAGTGTATTGGTGTAGATTTAAACATACTTTTTTTGTTAAACATACCTGTTTGTCAAGGTTTATGTTTTAATGTTAAATATTTAAGAAAGGGTTTTGCAACAACTAAAAAAAATATTAATTAAAAATAATAAGTGAGCCTAATATCTGGCTATAGTAAATTCTGTGCATTATATAACACTTTTCTTAACTTTAAATAATTATCATGAAGTCAGCTTGGCCACGTTTTTAAGCACTTCCCTTGAGTACTGCTAAAAATGATTTCGGTAGTTAAACTTCAAAGTTTGAAGTTTATCTTTTAAATCATTAACTAAGAATTGAATTACAAAAAACAAAAAATCACGGCAAAAATCACAGGTATGATACTAACACGATTGTAACTTTATTACAAATGTTATTTTAATAAATAAATTTTTACTTTTTAATTTGTTCATGTATGTTTCTGTGATTTGTTTTATTCTATTGCAATAACACTGTTTTTTCTGTTTTATGTTGAGGTATGCCATGATAGGATGGTTAGTTTTACTAAATTTGTTACAAACTCCTAATTCTGAAAGAATTTTTTTGTTGATGTTATTGAAAAAAAAGATAAAAGTTATACATGCCTTTAAGATATGAACATGTTGGACGCACGCCCTTTATCAAAGTGTATATTACAAAAAATGGCGTTAAGGCACTTTTTTATTTTTTGTCAAAAAAAAACGCTTTTTTTATCTGAATAATCTTTACAAGAAAAATTGTTAAAGTATTTGAGAACCACCATCAATCTATTTATTTCAAAACCTATGGTTATTTACTTCTTTTGCCTTTATGTAAGTTTACTCCCTCCATACAAGGCCGGCGCGATAGGGGGGTGTGGGGGGTGTGACACTCCTTCATCAATGATTTCTAGTCGGCAAACTGGACCCTTAGTCGGCAAATCGGACCTTTTTAGACTAGTTAGTCGGCAAATGTCGACCCTTTCGATATAGGTGAGACAGTCGGCAAATGTCGTAATGACAGTCGCCAAATTTTGGAAAACGAGGACCTTTTTTTTTTTTTTTTAGTCGGCAAAAGTTGTAATGGCACTCCCCCCCCCCCACGTGACACCTACTCGCGCCGGCCCTGCCTCCATATAATTTATTTTTGCGTGTATGACAGTTATGATTAAATATCTATTAGCATAATTTGTGCCAAACAAAACTTTTTAAATCTATGTTTTCGGCATCAATAAGTTTGTTCCCTAAATTAAGTAATATATATATATATATATATATATATATATATATATATATATATATATATATATATATATATATATATATATATATATATATATATATATATATATATATATATATATATATATATATATATATATATATATATATATATATATATATATATATATATATATATATATATATATATATATATACATATATGTAAAATATATATACATATACAAATAAGTAGAAACATTAATCTCATTCTCTTTGGCAGCTTGTTTCTCCATCAGTAGATCATCATCTACATCATCAGGAAGCCTCCTGATGAACCTATTGATGGAGAATCAAGCTAAGAGAATTAGATAAGTTGTATTATAAATTTATTGTTGCTCTCAGGTGTGTGGAGTTGGAAGAAAAAAAACACCAATCGCTGAAATTTTAAGAGAACGACTCCAACTCTAATTTGGACTCCAAATTTCGAGCTTATTTTTTTCTAAAGTAAAAACTATGAGCTAACTTGGTTCGTATGCTATTGTCTATAGGCGGACACGAGCATTACGCTAAAATTTCTAGCAATGTAATTTTTACATGGATTTTTATAATACCCGCCTCGATGCGGTTTTGGGAACTAGAGGGTTAATCAGTGTGTATTAATTAATTGTTGTTAAGAATAATATATTTGATTTTTTTTAATCTTTATATATTGTTGCCGCTTTCACGTTAAGAATATTCTTTTGAATATATATATAAATTTTTTCATTAGTGGGCATTTAAACTCGTACACCATCATTTAATAAATTGTGTCGTCAAAAGAAATGTTTTAAAAATAAAAAAGGTTTTGAAAATACTAAACACGTAATTTTCATATTTCACACTTATTGCAAGTTTAATTTTATAGTTAATATTAACTTTCTTTATACATAAATCGCGTTGCGAAATAAAGTTACAATTACTAAGTCTCAGCAAAAACAACAACAAAAGTCGTTTAAAATTACAAAAAATCGCAAGCGATTTCACGCTATCGTGGCAACGAAGAATAGCAATAATTATTTTTTCACGATTGGTTTTGAAATGTTATTATGACAATGGTTCATTAAAACATTTAAATTTGCTTCTATGTTTTAAATTCAAATAAGCAGTGAATCTAGTTTTCGTGTTTTTTAAATTTCTAGTACCAGTTTGTTGTAATAAAAAATCATTCTTTTAATTAAACGTATTTAATTTACGTTTTAAGTATTAGCAACCAGTAAAGTAAAGAAATCTATTTTCCTCATTGAAAAAATTTCTAGAACCCAGTTTTTAATAATCAAAAAACATTTAACTTACTTAACTTTTCAGCCAAAAAGGACGAAACTTTTATAGAAATAGCATT